TTCACAATCGTGGAAAGATCCCTTTGGGCGTGGCTTCATGGGGGGGTCATAAATGGGGGGGTCAGAAACGGTCCCCTTTCGTGCCCCTTTCGAGCCCCTCCGGACCCCCAGGGGGCTCGTTTAGGTACCGTTTGGGTACCTTTTCGGACCACCCTCGCCACCCCCCCATTTATGACCCCTCCATTACGCAACGCCCAATCCCTTCTGGCCGCAAGCTCCTCCGGGAGTAGAGCGTGATCGGCCAGCGCTGTGTGTGAGTGTGGGTGTGTCTCTGTGTGTGTGTGTCTGGGGCTCTGCGGAAGGAGGACGAATATGATGGGCCATTGTCTTCATGGTCCCCTCGTTTGGGACCCAATCTTCTGGTTCGTGTTTCATGGACGTACTGCATGTCCTAATCCTTCTTGTGGGACCTTAGCACACGGATCCGTGGTGCAGCCGTTGCCCCACAGCCCCGACCCTGAACCCTGCCTGGAAAGAACTTTCGGCGATATGGGGCACCCAGCTGCGCTCGGGATAGCAAGCAGCATCTCATCGGGTTCACGTCCCCGCTCCTCGGAGAATGCGAAGTCGGCCAGGTGGGCCGCTCCCACGCAGAGAAAGATGACCCCCGAGACGACCGCGCAGCCCGTCCGGACCTCCGACCGCATTTTGCCAGCGTCCGGCTTCGGCAAGGGCGGCAGGTCCTTATCCCACATTCTCTCCAATCCTCCTCCTCCTCCTCCTCCTCCTCCTCCTCCTCCTCCTTCCCCTTCCCCTCCCCCTCCTCCTCCTCCCCCTCCTCCTCCTCCTCCTCCTCCTCCTCCTCCTCCTCCTCCTCCTCCTCCTCCTCCTCCTCCTCCTCCTCCTCCTCCTCCTCCCGTCGACCCCTGGAGGTCCGGACCCCTTTCTCGGGACCGGCTCCTCATCCCGAGCAGTGCTCTGACGGCCCCGAGGCCCCATGTGAGGGCCCCATGGGGCCCCGGGGGCTGAAAACTTCCTACGCTGGTTTTCTTAGCGACGTTTTGGTCCGACTGTCTAACAGACGGCCGCTGGCGCCGTCCGCGCCGTCCTTTCGGACGCCCGAAGTGGATACGGAAAAAATGAGTACCATGCCCAACAGCAGATGTTGTCCCAAAGCAACAGCGGCCGCTGTTGGGCAGGCGGCCTTCTGTCTCAAATGGGCACGGGCCGCGGCGACACCGACAGCGAGTCCTGTTCAAAATGAACGGGAACTGCGGCTGGGCCTTGCACCGATTCCTTCCGTACCCCTTTCGCTCGCGCAGAGTCCTGCAGCGTGATCTCGCCCAGGGCGGGGCCCGGTCGCGCGGGCACCGCGGCCTCCATCGCCAGAGGCGGGCCCGCCACGGCGCGCGCGGCCTCCCCGCGGGAAGCCCGGCGGGGCGCGCGCGCGCGGCCCGTCGGGCGCTTCTGCGAGGGGCCGCCGCCGCCGCCGCCTTCGCCGTCGCCGTCGTCGTCGTCGTCGTCGTCGTCGTCGTCGTCGTCGTCGTCGTCGGCGTCGTCCTCGCCGTCGTTGTCGTCGTTGTCGTCGTCGTCGGTCATCGACCGATGGTGATTTGTTGAACATTGTGGAGACATGTGGTCGTTAAGGGCTTGACGACTTCTGACGTCCTTCGACTAGCGCTGGAGTGGCCTGGATTTGCTCCAACTTTCGCTTGAGATCTCTGGGTTCACCTGGATCTACCCAGATGTACTTGAATTTACCTGGGCTTATCTGCACTCACCTGGGTGTACCTCGCTCGGTCCTCAGGGAGTGGCCTCAGGGAGTGGCGGGTGCCGGAACCCTGAACCCAGAAAGGTTGCCACCTCATCACTTGGTGAACGTTTTCTGATTCGGTAGTGGTGGTGGAAAATTGGGCCCTCTTGGGACGCACAGAGACGTACTAATACTATGTGTCCTCCTTGGAGGCGCGCGTCCGACCCAAACATATAGCATACCCATCTTGTAGTATATCGTTTCCCGAGCGGTGTGGCCAGAAAGCGCCTGCCACGACGCATATACTACAAGATTTCTCGGTGTGCGCATCGCCCCCGGCGAGGCGACGCACATATAATAGTGTAAGTATGTTGGGGTGACGCCGAAGGCTCACTGTCGGTGCGGTGCAAGAGGCCGCTCCCGCCGCAGCAGGGCGGCACGCCTCTGCAGGCTCTCGGGGGCCCCGGGAAAGTCTCCGGAGGTCCCTGGGAGGCCGCCGGAGAACCGACCAAGGGCGAGACACGCTCGGAACCAGAGGCGGAGGAGGCGGAGGAGGCGGAGGAGGAGCAGGAGGAGGCGGAGGAGGAGGAGGAGCAGGAGGAGGAGGAGTCAGGGGGGCGAGGGGATCCCTTTTCGAACGAGCCCTCTCCCCCCCCCCTGCGAAACCAGAGGCGGAGGAGGAGGAGGCGGAGGAGGAGGAGGAGCAGGAGGAGGAGGAGTCAGGGGGGCGAGGGGATCCCTTTTCGAACGAGCCCTCTCCCCCCCCCCTGCGAAACCAGAGGCGGAGGAGGAGGAGGCGGAGGAGGAGGAGGAGCAGGAGGAGGAGGAGTCAGGGGGGCGAGGGGATCCCTTTTCGAACGAGCCCTCTCCCCCCCCCCTGCGAAACCAGAGGCGGAGGAGGAGGAGGCGGAGGAGGAGGAGGAGGAGCAGGAGGAGGAGGAGTCAGGGGGGCGAGGGGATCCCTTTGCGAACGAGCCCTCTCCCCCCCCCCCTGCGACCGCATTGGACCACCCACCCCGGCGACCGCAGTGGGAAGTGGCCCTGGAGGAAACGAGTCCTCACCCCCACGGCCTTCTCCAAGACGGGAGTCTATAAATATATATATATATATATATATATATATATATATCCTTAGATGCTCATTCTGGGGACCTTCCTGGAGACACTCGCTCCGCTCGTGCGTCGAAGCTGCGTCGAACGTCCGTCGATCTGATCCGACCTTGAGTCGAACCGAGTCGAATCTGAGTCGAACTTGAGTCGAACTTGAATCGATTTTTTAAATCAAATTTGAATCGAACTGGGGTCGAACTAGAGTCGAACACATCTGTTAGAAGGGCCCCTGGAACGTCCCCCAAAGAGCATCTAAGAAACTGGCCCTGGAGGAAACGTGTCCTCACCCCCAAGGCTTTCTCCAAGACGGGATGCTCATCCTGTGTCGTGTCGCTCTGTGGACGGCCCCGGGCCCAGCGGAGGGCCGCGGAACCTCTTTGGCCTGGCTTCTCCACGGCGGTACTCACCTCGGTAGGCCTCTGCAGGCCCAGTGGAGGCCCGAAGCGGGCCATATACACGCTGCACGAAAAGTCCTTGAGAGTCGGTCGGAGAGGACATGGAGATGGACATGCAAGGGGGCATGCATGGAGGGGGAGGATCAGAAGGAGGAGGAGGAGGAGGAGGAGGAAGAGGAGAAGGAGAAGGAGGAGGAAAAGGAGGAGGAGGCGGATGAGGAGGAAGAGGAGGAGGAGGTGGAGGAAGAGGAGGGGGAGGAATTAAGACGAGGAGGAGGATGATGATGAGGAGGAGGAGGAGGAGGAGGAGGAGGAGGAAGGGGAGGGCGGAAGGATCGATCCTCGAATGAGTCGGAGAGGACATGGAGTTGGACATGCACGGGTGATGGAGGGGGAGGAGGGGAAGGAGGGGGAGGACGAGGAGGAGGAGGAGGATGAGGAGGAAGACGAGGAGGAGGAGGATGAGGAGGAGGAGAGGGCGGAAGGATCAATCCCCGAATGCCCCCTCTCCCCCCTTGGCCTGGGCTCCCGCGGCTCCTGCAGGCTCGAGTGCTCCTCCCTGGCGCGAACGAGGCTCTCCTGCAGCTCCACGTTCTGCGGGCCGCCCTGCTCGCACTCCTGGTGCACTGATGGCGATGACGGGGATGATGTCGATGATGACGATGATCACGGATCGGCAGTGACGGTGACGTTCACGACGATGACGTCATCGTCATCGTCATCGGCTGAGGGAGGGGAGCCGGGAACAAGAGGCTGATGTGGAGAACGCGAAGGAAGAGGAGGAGGAGGAGGAGGAGGAGGAGGAGGAGGAGGAGGAGGAGGAGGGAGGAGCAGGCCGCCTTGTTCGCACTCCTGATGCACGGGTGGGGGGAAGGGAGCGAGATGAACGAGAGGCCGAGGAGGCATATTTTTTCCACATGGCCTCTCTCTCTGTCTATGTCTCTCCGCCCCCTCGACCATGGCTCGAGGGAGGAGGGTGGGGACGAACAGTCACTGCCACGCAGGAATACGGAGAAGCAGGTGAAGGCCCATGAGGAAGACGAGGGTCTGCGCCAGGGAGCGGAGTGTGAAAACACGCGGGTGATATGATGAGGGTGAGTGGTGGAGAGGCAAGCCGGAGGAGGAGGAAGATCGGGAGAAGCAGAAGAAGAAGAATAGCGTGATGAGACCAGATCTCATCATATCAGGGCCTGGTATGATGAGATCTTGGCTTATCATGCTCTTCTTGGTCCCAAGTGCGTCTGATAATCAGGCGCACTTGGGAGCAAGTCGAGCGGTCTGTCACACACACACACACACGCACACACAAGCACAGAAACGAGACAGCAGCCAAGGCCACACGAGTCGGGGGACGACGAGTGAGATGAGAGCGAGGACGAGAAGGAGGGGGAGGAAGCGCAGGGCGAGGGCATGGATGAGGAGGAGGACGTGGAGGCATTGATTTTCGAATGCCCCCAAAACGGCCAAGATAGCCTCCAAGGCGGCCCTGAAGCGCCCCCGATGCTCCTAGACGGCACGTGTCCAAGACGGCTTCCGACGGCGTCCGACGGGCCAGGAACGCTCGAAGACAGCCAACAAAAAGCTCCGACGAAGCCCGCAAGAGGCTGAAAAACACGATGAAGGGCGTCCTCGCAGCGGCGTGAACGATCGAGGCAGCCTCGCCCTCTCCTTCGATTGCCCCAAGGCCTTCGAAGATCGTTCACTGGGCCAACGCCGGGTTCCATCTGTTTCATGATGCCCTCCGTGCTTCTGTCTCTTGGGAGGTGAGGAACATCGTCCTCTTGCTCATCTTCGCTCGTCGTCGTCCCTTCCTCCTCCTCCTTCTCCTCGTGTTTCTCCTCCTCCTCCTCCTCCTCTTCTTCCTCCTCGTCCACCTCCTCGTCTTTACCTGTAACCTTCTCATACTCATGCTCCCCCTCCTCCTCCTCCTCCTCCTCCTCCTCATCATCATCATCATCATCATCAGCATCAGCATCAGCATCAGCATCATCATCATCATCATCATCATCATCATCACCACCACAACCATGATGATCATCATCATCAACATAATCATCAGTATCAGTATCATCATCATCACCATCACCATCACCATCACCATCACCATCATCATCATCATCATCATCATCATCATCATAATCATCGGCGTCATCATCAGCATCATCTTCATCATCATCAGCAACAACATCATGAACATGATCATCCTCGTGTTCCCTCACTCTCTCTTTCTTCTCCACGTCCGCATCCGTTTTCTCCTCCTGCTCGTCCTCACTTCTCCCGCCCCTCCGTCAATGGCACTTTGCCGGACATGCTAACTAGAGTCAGAGGTTGGGGGGTGAGATCGCAGTGGAAAGGAGACCCCCAACCGGGAAATCGTTTCGTTTCGTTCGTGTCGTGCGTGCGGGCGAGGCGAAGCTGCGTGGGCGCGCGAGAGATATTAACCCGCCGTTGCTAGGGCGGAGTCAAGACAAATGATTCTTCCCCGCCCGCCCTCCCGCCCGTCCGGCGGGGGCTCGCGGTGTCCCGCGGTGTCCGGTGGTGTCCCGTGGTGTCCCGTAGTTCCCGCCGTTACTAGGGCGAAGTCAAAACAAATGATTCTCCCCCGCCCGCCCGTCCGTCCGTCCGTCCGGCGGTGGCTCGCGGCGTCCCGCGGCGTCCCGTGGTGCCCCGTGGTGTCCCGTTGAGTGAGATCGATAGTGAGATCGGTAGTGAGATCGATAGTGAGACCGATACTGAGATCGATGTGGTGTCCCGAGGTGTCCCGTGGTGTCCCAAAAAGTGAGATCGATAGTGAGATCGACAGGTGTCCCGTGATGTCCAGTGGTGTCCCTTTGAGTGAGATCGATAGTGAGATCTAGAATGAGATCGATACTGAAATCGATGTGGTGCCCCGAGGTGTCCCGAGGTGTCTCGTGGTGTCCCAAAAAGTGAGATCGATAGTGAGATCGATAGTGAGATCGACAGGTGTCCCGTCGTGTCCCGTGGTGTCCCAAAAAGTGAGATCGATAGTGAGATCGATAGTGAGATCGATTTGGTGTCCCGAGGTGTCCCGTGGTGTCCCGTTGAGTGAGATCGATAGTGAGATCGATAGTAAGACCGATAGTGAGATCGAGAAGTGTCCCGCGGTGTCCCGTGGTGTCCTATGGTGTCCCCGTGGTGTCCCGTTGAGTGAGATCGATCGTGAGATCGACAACTGTCCCGTGGTGTCCCGTGGTGTCCCGTTGAGTGAGATCGATAGTTAGATCGATTGAGGTATCTGATCCTATGTGTAACCATATCTGCTCTGTGGTGACTTTCGGGGACGTCCAAGAAGGTGGCGTCCATGAGGGGGGTTCGCAAATCATGGCCCGACGCATGTGCGCGGTCCATGGGGGGGGTGCAAGGGACGCATTGAAATAAGAAAAGACACACTGAAACCTGGGGAGGTATCCTGGCCCTGGCAGTGACTTCCCCCCCAGTCATCAGCCCCTCTTGGCCGCCCCCGGAACATGATATGGCACCTCTCCCGTGCCCAGAAGATGCTCCGCCTCGCTGCGCGCCTCTCCTGTACCACGGCGTCCGCTTGGAGCCAGCGCACGCTTTTGAACACTCTTCGCCGAGCAGAGCAGCAACAGGTGCACTGGGTGCAGCAGAAGCAGGGCTCGAGAATGCAGGGCCCGGAAGCCAGGAGCACCGACTCGGGCCTGGCCAGGGACATCACCGCCGCCCGCATCAGACAGGGACCCCCCCGAGGTCTGAAGACTCCCATGCACGTTCCTGCACGGACGCCCCCACCGCATGACCCGACCCACGTAAACCGCTACCGCCTCCATCGACTCCGCGGGCCCAGAGAGCAGGCCACCTCAGACCGCTCCTGCTCCAGCTTCTCCTCCAGCTGCCGCGCCTTCTCCGACGCCCTCTTCTCCGAGGCGTCCGCCTCCCTCGCCGCCTTCTTGGCATCTGCGAGCTCGTCCTGCGAGTGGGAGGGAGAGCGAGAGAGCGAGGGAGAGAAAAAAAGCGACAGAGAGGGAGGAGAGAGAGAAAGAGAGAAAGAGAGAACGAGAGAGAGCGAGAGGGAGAGAGACGGAGAGCGACGCCGCTGCGTTGGGACGGCCCGTGCTTCACAGTCGCTGCGACTGCGAGGGCGAGGCTCTCTCTGAACTGAATCATCCATACGCGCTTTCTCCCCCGCGCCACTGCCAGGCACCTCCGACCACCACCTCGCGCCTGGCCAATCGAGGCTTAGGTCGGGCGTGCCCCCCTACAGGCGGATCTTGGGCGAACAGTTCAAAATATCCAAAACATACCCCCGACATGATCAAGAAATAATTTTCAAATTAGTCCCCATACGATTGTTTGACTATTTTTGAATTTTTCCTCCTGCAGAGGAAGAGGTCCGACTGAAAATCGAGGCCCGGGAGTCGAGGGGGGAGCACAGCCGCTCGCGGGCACGGCGCTGGCCGCCTGGGTCCACGGGTCCCGCGGAGGGCCGCGCGCGGCGGGCAACGCAGCTCAGGGGCGGCAGGAACCGCCCCCGAGTGCGCCAGCAAATAGAGAACAAACGCAAGTGCGATGCAGTGGCGGCCCGACCACAAGAAACCTTCCACAAGGAACCCGAGCCCGAGACCCCAGGACGTCCACGGACTCTTGGGTCTGGGATCGTCACGCCTTCCGTAGCGGAAGACATCGAAACCCAAGAAGCTCAGGGCACCCTGGAGGCAAGCAGGGCGTTTCTTGGCATGGGCCTCCACTGCACAAACAAAGAAGGGCAGCCGCATGGGTATGGCATCGCTTGCCTTTCTCGTCGCACTTGGGTCCCTGGGGTGATTCTGGTTGGCCCAGGATCAGGGGGACGTAAGACCTGGGTACAGGGGACTCGGACATCCCCGACGAGGTCGTCAAAAAAATGACGAGGCCGAGCCTGCATTTTGACGAGGCCTCCCGCTGCAGACATCCCACGAAACTCCTCCTCGTCAAAATTCGAGGCGCGGTCGTCAAAAAACGATGGCGAACCCGAGTCCTGGCAAACCCAGGTCTTACGCTCCCCCGACAGGAGTGGGTCCAGCTGGAAGGGGCTGGTGCAATATAACTGCGGCAAGTGTATTGCACACGTATTGCGCTCGATAGATGTACTGCGTTGTAGTGCAACGCATATGTTGCACGCGAAAACCCAGCAACACAATACACCTGCGCCCCAGAATGTGTTGCACGCCCCAGATGTATGGCAGCGCCACAGATCTGTTGCACCAGATCTATTTGACCACCCCGTTGTCGCTGGACCCCCTGTCGGCTCAACCAGAGTGATGCTGTGCGCCCCAGGCGCCGCCTTCCTCCCTCCCCCCCGGCCGTGCTGTGCGCTCCGCCGGGGGGACACCGGTGCACGGCGGGGGAAGGTTCTGGCGGTGGCAGTGGGGAGGTGCCGGGGGACGGAGGTGAGCGTTTTCTTGTTTGGCGGTGCGGCCTTGGGCGAAAGGGGGAAGAGAGGGGGGGTGGCTCTGGGCCTGGGCTTCCTGCGACTAAAATATTTGCAGCAGTGCGTCCTGTGAGGGAGGCTCCGCCTGCTCGAGACGGGTGCCCAAACCAGCCAGGGGTCTACTCCATGAAAGAGGGGGTGCGAGGTGCGAGGGCCCGCCCCGATCTGCAGAACAACGAGTAAGGAAAATAGCACGAGAGGGGAGGAGCAGGAGGGGAGGGTGTGGGGGCGGTGGCAGGGGAGGAGTGCCGAGGGGCGGGGAGGGGAGGGGAGGTGTCTGGGCGGCGGCAGGGGGGGCGAGGGGGAGTGCCGAGAGAGAGGGAAGCGGGGCGGAGCAGGAGGGGAGGGCTTGGGCGCTGGCGGGGGAGGAGCGCCGAGGGGACGGAGGGGGAAGGGGAGGGGAGGCGTTCGGGCGGTGCCGGGGGGGGGGGGGAGTGCCGGGGCGGTGGCAGGGCAGGAGGTAGGACGCGGGCGAGAGGCTCGGCGGCGACGCGCGAGCCGGCGCTCCGGGGGATCCTTCGGCGAGGCCTCTCGCGGTGAGGCAGGCATATCCTCCACGGCGCTCGGCATCGAGGGGTCGCCTGGGGATCTCCGGGTGCGCCCACTCCAGATAGGGGGCCAGATGCGAACCCTCCCCCTCAGAAATCGTGGGGGGTAGGGGTAGGGTTCGCGTGTGGCCCCCTACCAGAGCCAGGGTGTGCCACCGACCAGCTCGCTCCATCCGTGGGCCATGCGCTGCCAGTGCCGGTTCTTCTGCATGGTGTCTCTCTTCCGCTTCCGCGGGCAGGCACGGCGAATGGATCCTCTGGCTCCGTGTGCGACGGATCATAGCGCGCAGCTTTCCTGACGCTCTGGGCGGCATGTCCCCGGGCGCGAGAGACATGGGAAGACGTGCGCCCGCAAGGGGGAGGCCGGCGGAGAGACGAGCCGGAGGCGAACCGTTTGCGGTGGCGGCGGCGCGAGAGAGAAGGAGAGAGAGAGGAGAGAGAGAGAGAGAGAGAAGGAGAGAGAGAGGAGAGGAGAGAGAGAGAGAGAGTGGAGCGAGAGAGAGAGAGACAGAGAGCTGGGGGCGCGCACAGGGAGTCGGAGGGGGGAAGGGGGGAAGGCTTCTTAGAGGGAGGCTGCTTCTTACTTCTTAGAAGGCGCCAGCCCTACGTCTGCAGAGAAGGCCCGCGCCCGCTGAGAAGCAGGGGTGCTTCTAAGATGCCTTCCCCCCTCCCCCTTCCTCTCGCTGCGCGTGACCGAGAGAGAGAGAGAGAGAGAGAGAGAAGCACGCGTACAAAGAGAGATCGAGAGAGGGTGAGGGAAGAAAGAGAGAGAGAGAGAAACAACAACAAACACATAGAGAGAGAGAGAGAGAACACACACACACACACACACACACACACACGCTCACACAACAACAAGTAATATAAAGACGCAGGGTGAGAGAGAGAGAGACAGGGAGAGAAAGGCAGATATAGAGGCCTTCCAGATGGGGTCGGAGTAGATGAGGTCGGACGATCGCGCCACATATCGCCGATGCATCCGCGATGCACTGGCGATGCATAGCCGACGTCGGCGATGCATCGGCGACGTCGACGTAAAGCACATTGGGCTGCACATCGAGCCGCATCGGCGATGCGTCGGCGATGCGGCGCGCGATCCTCCGACCCAACCCACTCCGACACCACCTGGGAGGCCTGGAAGAGAGAGCGAGAGAGAGAGTTTCGAAGTTCGACCGTCGAAACTCGATCCTGGAAGCTCGACCTTTGAGGATCGCCCTCCCCCGCAACCCCCGCAGTGCACCGCGCCGCTGCCGCTTCCCCGATGGGGATCCTTGAGGTCGCTGTTCTGGCCCTGCTCGCGCGCCAGGTCCTCGCCAGGGCAATCGCACTCCCTTAGACCAACCTACGCGTGAAGCTGTGGCGTTTGTCCTCCTCCTCCTCTTCCTCCTCCTCCTTTCCCCTCCTCCCTCCTCCTCCTCCTCCTCCTCCTCCTCCTCCTCCTCCTCCCCCTCCCCCTCCTCCACCTCCCCCTCCCCCTCCTCCTCCACCTCCTCCACCTCCTCCTCCTCCTGCTCCTCCTCCTCCTCCTGGCGAGGAGGATGGGGAGGATGCGGGGGGCTGGACAGAACACCCTTTGGCACAACGTGGCTTCGTGACAACGACCTCGGGCCCAGACCTGGCGGGCGCCAGCCTGGAGAAGGACGGCCGCGGCGCCCCCTCGAGGACCGAAGACGCACAGCGCACGAAGCGACGTGTCAGGGCGGGGGTTCTCTGTCCACACCCCCGTGGGAGCCGGGGGCGCGAGGACTCCGGAGTAAGGCGGGGGTCCGAGGAGCCAGGCCCAGGAAGAGGAAGAGCGCTCTGCGAGCGGGTCGCGGCCGGCGAGGGCGGCCAGGGGGAGGCCGAAGGGGAGGGATATGCCAAGGGCATCCCTGGGAAATTGGGGAAGGGCAGCCTTGGAAGGGCCGAAGGGGAAGGATGCAAGGGGCAACCCTGGAAAATTGGGGAAGGGCCGAGGGGAAGGATGCAGGGGGAAGAATGCAAAGGGCAGCCCCGGAAGATGGTTCATCCTTGCTGTGCGGGTTGACTGTAGCGGTTGTGGGCACCTTCTCCTCCTCCGAGATTGTTTTGACAATCGCCATGCTGTGAGCGAGGCTTGCGGCGTTCTGGTGGCAACCGATGCCATGAAGAAAGACCGACTTAACGCAGAGGTGTGAGCACATGAGGCAGCAGGCACGTGCGGATCAGGAACTATAGAGAATAAAAGCAGAGCAGGGTACCTGAGGGCTAGTGTGACGATGCCTGCCGCCGATGTGGAGGAGAGAGAACAATCAACAAGAACAGCCCTAGCAATATGAGTAGTCTAAGGAGGATACCATCGAGGGGAGGTCGAGATACGCGCGCATTGCCGTTCAAGTGAAAAAGGACAGGCGACGCAGAGCTTCCTCGGCGATGCATGGGCGATGCACTGGCGATGCAGCGTCGACGTCGGCGATTCATCGGCGACGTCGGCGCGGAGAAAATCGGGCTCCACATCGAGCCGCATCGCCGATGCATCGGCGATACGGCGCGATCCTCCGACTCCATATACTCCGACCCCATCTAAGAGAAGATGCCTAGACAAGGGTAGCCCTGGAAAACTGCTCATCCTTGCTATGCGGGTTGACTGCCGCGGTATGGGTACCTCTTCCTCCTCTGCGACTACTTCGCCTCTCCCTCCCTGACGCGGTGGGTGCGACCGGGGCACTTTTGGTAGGTGGATCTCTCAAGCTCTCCGCCGCCTCTGGCGGTGCGCACTGCGAGCAGGAACACAGCAAAGCCTACTCGCAACGCACACCGCCAGAGGCGGCGGAGAGCTTGAGAGATCCACCTACCAAAAAGGGCGGGCTCCGGGCGCTCCTGCCACATGTCCGCGGCCTTGGCGCGCTGCCGGTCGAGCTCCGACTCGAGCCAGGCCACGTCCGTGCCCCCAGTGTCCTCCTCGCCGGGCGGGCAGTGCGCCCCCCGAGGAGGAGGAGAAGGAGGAGGAGGAGGAGAAGGAGGAGGAGGAGGAGAAGGAGGAGGAGGAGAAGGAGGAGGAGGAGAAGTGATGATGATGATGATGATGATGATGATGATGATGATGATGATGATGATGATGCTGATGATGATGATGATGATGATGATGAGGAGGAGGAGGAGGAGGAGGAGGAGGAGGAGGAGGAGGAAGACGAGGAGGAGGAGGAGGAGGAGGAGGAGGAGCAGGAACAACTACGAGCCGAGGATACGGTGTGAGCGAGGGCCATGTCTCCTTCGTGCGCAAGGATGTGGACCGCAGATCGCAGTCGCTCACGGAGGAGGGTTCTTCTGCGCCATTCTCCCCTCCCGTTGCACTGTCCACCCCTCTTCAGTTCGCCTGGTTCTTGTATGGGTACCGACGTTTCCCTGAACCCTTATCGACCGACCAACCGACCGAGGAGAAGGCACTGCAGCTGAAGATAGTCTGACGTCAAGAAATGAGTCTGACGTCAAGAAGTTTGTCCGCGAGAGAGGTAGGGAGGGAGGAGGAAGAAGACGCGAGGGAGGGAGGAAGGGAGGAGGAAGAATAGGAGCAGGCAGGTAGAGTCTCGCCGCTCTGCCGCAAAAGGTAACATCGAGGCTGATGACTGGGCCAAGTGGAGCACTGAGCGCGCTAGGATTCCTGATTCCGTGCGTACAGCCAGGAAGTCCAAGGCGCGTGTGCTCACTGATTATGCTGTGTGGTGCGCCAAGAGTTGGGCCGAGGTTGTGCGACCTAGACTCAGTGCACGTTCCTGTCAAGGCGGGGGCTCGCAAGGATAAACTCGTCCCTCCGCTCGAGGCCCTCCCCCCTTCCTCGCATGAGAACCCCAAGAGCCCTCGCCAATGCCGATCTAGCCTGTGTGCGAGTCGCCGCCACAGGTAAGCGTCAGCATGCCGTGCACCCCTTCCAGCTGCAAGGAGGAGAGTGGTGCGTGGTGTGCGCCGTCTGTGGGCTCGGTTGAGCCAAGACTTCAAACAGTCCGCAGCAGCCCTGCCTTGGGCCGCCAGCGCCTGCCTCTCACGGGCGTTGGGCGCTGCAGAAGTTGGCTCGTGCCCCAGCGAAGTTCAACATGAACAGGCGGTGGCACTTGCTACGGCAGCCCTTTCGGCCCGCCGACGCCATCCGTGCTGGGGAGACGTCGTCCGCGGGCGCTGCTTCCTCGGTGCTAAAGGAAACGACGGGCTAACTCTTTCGGCTTTGAAGTTCTGAAAGAAGACCGTCCCTCGAGACGCGCTCTGCCCTGTCGGTGGCGCCGCCCGCCTCTGGGTGTTTACCCAAGCAGTGGCGCAAGCGGCATGTGGCGCGGAGATACTCTTCGTGCCAGGCTTTAGCGAGGAGGAGGAAGAGGAGGAGGAAGGGAGGGAGGGAGGCAGGGAAGGAGGGAGGGAGGGAGGGACAGAGGGAGGAGGAGGAGGAGGACGAGGAAGAAGAGGAAGAGGAGGAGGAGGAGGAGGAGGAGGAGGAGGAGGAGGAGGAGGCGCAGCGCTCAAGCGGAGGAGCAAGATGCGGCGCTGATGGCGCAGCAGCGCTCCACAGGGGGCGTCTGGACGGGCACGGCCGAAGGAGCAGGGGCGTCCTGCTCGACGCCTCAAAAGTACGCCCCGCCCACCCGCCCGAGAGGCCGCGGCGGGGGGGCGAGAGGCAGCGAAGGGGGCCGCGGTCATGGAAGCCGAAGACCAGGGGGCGCGCGCGCGCGCGCGCGCGCCTGTCTTTCGTTCCTTCCGCCCCGACGAGGCACTGGAACAAAGCCGACCCCGAGGTGGCGCCCAAAGAAGTGTACAGGTGGGCAGCCATGAGCCGCAACGCTGGACCTGAGCGGGCGGAGCCAAGAGACCTCAGGGTGAAGCGGAGGAGGAGGAGGAGGAGGAGGAGGAGGAGGAGGAGGAGAAGGAGGAGGAGGAGGGGGAAGAGGAGGAGGAGGTGGAGGAGGAGGGGGAGGAGGAGGAGCGAGCGTCACTGGGCGAAGGTGCATCCTCACGCCCCTGGGCCGCGCGCGCGCCTCGGGCCACTCAGGCTCGGCGCTGGCGTCCAGGACGAAGGTTGCGCCGTCCACGGAGGACGGGGTGTCGCCAGAGTCGGCGGTCACGGAGGAGTCAACGTCGTGGGGCGCCTCCTCGAACACGAAGGTCGGGGTCACTGTAGCACTCTCTGGGGCCAGGGGAGCAGCAGAGACGATGGCAGGGGGAACCCCCGCCGCGGTGTGATTCAAGCCGTACTCGTCGAGCGCGGACGGCTGGGAGTCGATGGAGTCGGCGAAAGCCTCGAGGATCGGGCTAGTGTCGATGTCCATGGACAAGCGGGCGACGTGAACGGAGAGCGCCTGGCTGCAGCAGCCGAGCCGCAGAAGATCACCAAATCGAAAGAAAGGGGCCACTGGCACCACCTGACCCCAAATACGTCCAGCAAAATATTTCTTCTTCCCGCGCGCCTTGCACATCATCAGCAGCACCAGCAGCAAGCTGATCTCCACGACGAGCTTCTTTCATCGGCTTCGTCTCCTTCCCTCTCTTGCCCCAGTGAGGCGCGCCGTGCTCGACATCCTCCTTCTCCTTGGCTCCCTTCATAGCGTTCTTCTCTGTATGTTCCTTCTTCGCGTCAGGCAAGGCGCAGTCGCGGACGGCACCCTCTGAGAGACCGCCAGCAGCCACGTCTGGTAGAGGAAGATGAGGAGGGAGAGCGGGGTCAGCAGCGGCAGGACCCGTAGGACCACCAGGTGAGAGTACCGGCAAGCGTCGCCGCCCCTGCAGCGTGGGAAGGAGCGACACGCGGGGCGCCAGGCCACGCGAGGGCCAACGTCCAGCACCTTCAAGCAGAAGAAATTCCGAGCCTTGACAGGTCCACAAGGATGCGGTTGGGCTTCGTCACGGGCCGTGCACCAGTGCCTCCATGGCGGCTATCCGCACCAGCAGCAGCGACAGCAGGGAGAGTACCAGCGCCAGCATCGTCATCCGCTCCAGCAAGAACTGCTGACAGCGGACGCACAGCGGTAGCAACACGAACCGGGTGAGCAGCAGCGTAGCGATCACGATCATGAATGGCATCCTGGGGACCATCGACCCGATCCGCAACACGATCACAAGGAAGCGGGCGACGATCGCCACGAGCAGCGGCGGCCGCGTCGGCACTTGCGAGCTGTGCAGGCAGATCACCAGCGGCATGGGGAACGACATCACCACCGGCAGGACCGCCAGCAAGGGGCCGGGTTCGCTCTTCGAAGATGCAGAGCTCGGTCTCGAAGCCGGGGCCTTGCAGGAAATAGTCAGCGTCCAGGTTCACATTGGGCTCCGATGTCTGACCCATGTCGAGCGGTGTCCAGCTGTAGGCGACTACCGGCGTAGCCAACATACAGATGGGCTCATTCATTGTAAACGTCAGCTGAGCCATGTACGAGAAGAGAAGGTCACTCGGCTGCGTCGTCGTTTCTCAGGTTGCAAGCAATTGCCGGAGGGGAATGCCGTCGTGCTGGAGAGAGACGGGTCTCACGCTCGAGGCGGGGGTCGGTCGTGCACTTCATCGGCGTCGTCACCGTCAGAACGTTAGGGGGCCACATGCGAACCCTACCCCTGCCCCACACGATTTCTGAGGGGGAGGGTGGGGTGCACTTCGTTCGCGAGCTCCCGAGCGAAGTGAACCCCACCCTCCCCCTCAGAAATCGTGGGGGGTAGGAGTAGGGTTCGCATGTGGCCCCCGAAACGTTCATCTGCCCAGCGAGGGCGAGAACCAGCAGCATGATCACGACGGCCAGGGCGATCTTGAGCTCCCGCGGGGTCCTGCCGTCCAGATCGGTGACGATGTCCAGCGTGGTCCCCATCACGACGCACAGCAGATCCATGAAGGGCCTGGTGACGATGCTTGGCGGCATCCGCCAGCTCCAGCGCCGCCCGCGCGGCCGAATGGCCGTCTGGGGAGAGCACACCTCGTCGGAGCGCACGATGTGCAGCAAGCTTGCCAGAAGCAGCTGGGGCGATCCCATGACTCAGGCCTTCAGTATCGAGAATACGATGAATGGCTTTGCCTTGGGCCATACGCTTCACGTCAGCCCTGTCAGTCACATCCATTTCCACAAAAGCCTTCCCAGGCCCAGTATGGAAAGTCGCGTACCAAGTATCCCGCTCGCGGCGGTGACGTTGAGCTCCAGTGAGCAGGACCCCCGCAGCAGAGGCGGCCACCCAGGAGCGACAGCTCGGCATCGAAGAACTGCCCGCAGCAGCGCCCACGCACAGATGGAAGAAGAAGAAGAAGAAGACGAAGAGAGAGCAGAGCACTATGAAGCAGCAGGCGTCACCATCCCGACGGATCCCGCGCGGCGGCGGGCGCGCGCAGCCACCAGGAGCCAGGGTAGGCTCGGTAGCTCTTGAGCCAAACTGGCTACGGAAGGAGGAGGAAGAGGAGGAGGCGGAAGATAATTGCAAAGCATTCGGGGACGACGATATCGAAGAGGAGGAGGAGGAGGAGAAGGAGGAGGAGAAGGAGGAGGGGGAGGGGGAGGGGGCGACGACTCAGAGGAGAAGGGGAGGGTCGGGGATCTCGGGGGGTCCCTCCTCCACCTCGTGGCGATGTCCAGAAATATCCCACGGGGTACTCTTGGGGAGGATGCGACCCCTCGACCTCGAGGAAGGCTCGACCTGGCAACCCATCTGGAAAGGGGCATGTAGGGACTGATGGGAAGTGGGGGGGGGCTTGAGGAGGCTGGAATGCACGTCGGTGCTTGCTGCATTGCACGTGATGGTGCGATCTCTGCCGAATGCAAGCTGCTCTGTGCACCGCGCGCTGTGATACTACATATTTCGGAAGTTAACGTGCCACAATAATGCAACTTCAGGCACGAGATAGTGCAATGCGAATTGTGGGCTGGCGCGCAAGGCTTGGGCCGCACCACGCCCCAATGCTTATAAAGAACGACTCGGAAGAAAACAAGAAGTCTGGATCCGGCTCTGGCATGAGTCGGCAATGAGGCGTATCAACTTGTTAAGCGCTGCTTCGGTAAAACAAAAAACATGGGATCTAGGCATACGCAAGCACTTCTCGTCCGCGAAAACAAAACGAAGCCCCACTGGCGGCAATGCGACCCCGATCCCTCCGCTGCGCGACAAGCATGTCAAGCATCGCAAAGCCAGATATCGCCATTGAAGCAAATGATTCTGGGGAATGCGAGAGAGAAGTTGCACGGGGGGTATAAGCCATCAGACCTGCGCAACGCACCTGACCAGACCACAAAGAAAACAACGAACCTTGTAGGTCGGCTCACGGTGCCCTGTACAGAATTCGTTGTATGTATATTGACGGATATATATATATGTGTGTGTTCCTACACCTTACGCGTATGCCTATATGAAAAAGAAAAAGGCAGCCCACATTCCCAGCGAGCGCACCGGGCCATCATGTGCAGCACTTATTGTGTCCCCACGTATACGAACATGCGAGCGCTGGCGGCTTTGCTCCAGGTGTTGGCGCGGCCCCCCTGGTTCCACACACCGCCACACCGCTCGGGTGAATGCAAAAAACGGCGGACTCTGCAGAGGGAGCCGAGCCCACGTGCAACAGGCAGGTCTTCGCGAGCACCGCGTCTGCACCCAGGAGGCCGAGGCCAAGGCGAGGACTCCCGCTGGTGTGTGTGTGTATGTGTGTGTGTGAGCCCGTTTGACGGTGTTGGGGGAGGTCGAAAAACCATGCGATGGGACGCCTCTGGCATGCCACCCGGCCCAGGCGCGCCGCGTGCAGGAACGAGCCACCGACGGCGGTGATTGTCGGAGAGGCCTGAGGCGTCCTCCCTACATTCTTGGCCGAACCCTCGTAGACACACTCTCGATCACCCTGCGGGTGGTTTGCATTTTGGAGCTGCAGTCGGTCGCGCTCGCATCTTCCAGGATAGCACGAGGAATAGAGTAAGGAGCGCAATCCCCGCCAGCGCCGAGTGGACAGGACGTGCAGATGTATACTGCTGTAGGCTATTCTGGCTCTTGGACCGTGAGTCGCTTGAACCAGGATCGCTTGAACAAAAGCGCTTACGGACAAGGGGTGAGGGTGAAGATGGTGGGGCCCCATGCGTGCAACAATGGAGTTCTTGCGCCTTCGTGGAAGGGGGCGCGGGGGAGACTGACGATTTCGCCTGGAACTTCAAACTCACAAACGGATGCTATGTACATAGCGAGAGAGCGCGAGTGATACATATATATATATATATATATATATATCATTCACAGATGTATGTGCCAAGACATATTACAGAAAGAGAAACAGACATAGAGAGAGAGAGAGACACACATACAGACAAACAACGAGAGACGGCGAGAAAGAAAGAGAGGCACTATATACAGAGAGAGAAACCACAAAAACAAAAAAGCGAAAGAGAGGCAGAAAAAAGAATGTTCCATGGACGGACGCCGGTCAGCTTTGTAATTCCGAAGGCCCGAACCTTCAGCACTTGCACGGGTGAAGGATAGCAGCGCTTCAAAAACTCATCGACCAGCAAATGGCATCGTCTGTGTCTTTGGTCAGCCCAAAGTTATCACCACACTGACGGACACAATGAAGTGTTTAGATCGCGCACCGGGCTGATGCCCGAGTGCCAAATGCGCGCGCTGAAGCACGTCATATTGCAGGTTGGCAACTCCCTGCTGGCTTGATTTAAGCGCGCGTGTCTGAACGGCGCCTTGCTATCTGACACACGCTGCAAACGTCACACGTGGGGGCAGGAGGCACACCCGCATCGCCCATTGAGCAGGGAAGACGACACACACGCACAGCGCCTCCCGCAGACGGGCCCATGCCCGCTGTCCTTCGGCTTGCGGAGCTCTTGCAGCTGCTTCTCGAGCTTCTCGCAGTCGCGGAGCGACTGCTGCTCCTTCCTCTCCAACTCCTCGATGACTGCCTTGCTTTCCTTCTCGGCCGCCTGTGCCGACGTGGGCAGAATAAGACAGAGAGGGAAGCGCACATGGCAGAGTTTTGGTGCTCGATGCTGGAACAGGGCAATTTTTAACACATCGGATGTCTAAAGACATCGGATTTTTAATATATGAAAGTTTATGAATAAATTGATGCATGAACTCCTCGTTGGTTTTAATACTAAATCCTTACATTTTTCATACATGATCCGCACGCGGAGCATGTACTAAAAACGGCACTGTACGATCATGAACACGCCAACGCCACTCCTTGCTTACAACCTGGCCACCCGGCGTCGCCGGCCACACCACTGCGCGCATCGCGCCTCGCCATGCGCGACGGGCAATGACACTTTCGCGCCCTCACGCCGCCCCCCCCCCGGGAGACGGGCAACCCTCTTGCGCAAACGACGACGCACGAAACGCGATTCTCTTCGCGCCCGCGCGGGCCGCTTCGGCTCCCACTCTTCGAGCGCGTACAGCGCGTCGCAAAAGATATGGGGAGGCGACTCCCCCGGCCGCGGCAGCGGCATGCGGAAGGGGGGAGCGCGCGCCTCCACGGCGGAGAGCTTCTCGCGAAGCTCCTGCGCACCCGCAGGCCGTCGCCACACCGCGGGCTTCACGCAGGAGCGGCCCTGGGCAAGGAGTGGCCTCCAGGTGCGCGGCCTTCGGGGGCCGCGGGAGGGCCGAAGCCAAGCACGCAGGCCAGGGTGGTGCTTGGGGGGGGCGTCCTTGTGGGCCCGCACCGAGGGCCCCTCTTGCGAAGGGCCACTCTTGCAGCGCAGCCGACTCTGGCACGATCCTCCCCTCCCGCCCCCCCCCCCCCTGGCCCCGCACCGCCTGCGGCCCCAACGTCCCGCCTGGGCCCCTTGCCTTCCTGGATCCACACCGACTTAAGTGGATTTGCCTCGATTCACCTGGCTCGATCCGTGCAAGTC